CCTTTAAGCCACAGGTGCCGCCCCAATCACCCACTCTTTCATATGAAAGATAAAACACAATTATAGTCAGGATGAAGGAGAGAAGAGGAGGGGGATGGGAGAGAAGAGGTGGGTGACGGGAGGGTAATTGGTGGGACCTCACCTATGTGTACATTGCAAGGGTACATGTCAAATCTATTAAGAGTAGAGGATAAATGTCTTAACACAATAAGTAAGTGAGGTGATGGCTATTTTAACCAGTTTGATGTAAGCATTCTAAATTGTATATAAAACCAGCACACTATACCACATAAATGCATTAATGTATACAGTTATGATTTAATTTAAAAAATTTTAAAAATAATTATAATTGTAAAAAGCAGCACTTTAAGAGTTAGCTACTTTCATCATCACCAGCACTCTTATTTGAGTACAAAGTGTAAGAAAGACCTGGAAGAGAGGGGGCTGGGAGCTGGGCCAGGACCAGGCTGAAGATTTCAGACTTTATCTTCCAGGCCTCAGGGAGCCAAGGGAGGATTAGAAGCAGGGAGTGGCAAGACTGACTTTCTGCTTTAGAAATGGCTGCTGGGAGGAGAAAGGGCTCTGGGCAGAGAGACCTAACTCATGGTGCAGTTACAGGGTTTGGGAGCCACTTCCCATCATAATGAGTCCAAAAGTGGGGGATGTTTGCTGTGAAAGAGTTAACTCTGTTTTGAGAGGAAGGGATGAGTGGAAGCACAGACAGATTGAGAAATAAAAGTGGGCTTACAGTCACCACAGCACTCTTCTGTGTAAGAAGGTTCAGGATTTTTAGGCCAAGGACGGCATATGCAAAATCACACCATCACATCTCATATTGGGTGGAATTTGTGTTAGTGAGAGCTTCCCAGAGATGGGAGGGCAGCCTTAAGGGGCAAGGAGCTGCCCATCCAGGGAGGTGTGCAAGCAGATTCCAGATGAACACGTGACAGTGTTTCTTCTGTAAAGAAAGCATGAACATCAGGCAGGTTAATCTAAATAATTTCTAAGGTTCACTCCAACCTTAATTTCTGTATTTTACTGACCTGCAGGGTGGTGTACTAATTTTCTCCTACTGCTGTAACAGATCACCACAGACTGGCTTAGAACAACACGACTTTATGATCTTCTGGTTCGAGAGGTCAGAGGTCCAACATTGGTCTCACTGGGCCAACAAGGTGTGGGCAGGGCTGTGTTCCTTTTTGGAGTCTCTAGGGGAGGATCTTTCTTTGCATTTTCAGCGTTTAGAGGCCTCTTGGATTCCCTGGCTTGTGGTCTCCTCTTCATAGCATCTAGTAATCTTTCTCTCTCTATCTCCCCTCTCTAACACTCACACACACTTCCATGTTTAACCAATTTCCCCACTACCTGCCTGAACTCTCAGGTCTTACCTGACACAGAGTAGCTCCTGGAGACAAGGTTTGTATTTTGGAAACACCAGGATTTCTGCCATCACACCACTTACCCAGTATGTTAACTGCACTCATTATGTCATCTCTATCATCCACTGTTTCCTCATCCATCTCAGTGCCTGGCAAACTACAGACCTTCAGTAAGCAGACAGATATGTGTCTGTGAATGAATGAAGAATCCATCCAGACGCAATGCCTGAGATCTAGCTGAGAGATAGTCACCCCCTCATTAACTCTGACTGCCTAGCTTTCCTGACGTAACCAGGCACCATGCCAGGATGAGGCCCAGGCCTGATCTAACACACTAAGCCAGGAGAGACCCCTTTGGGGGAGAACAAAAGCCTTACTTGGCTTGTGGGATAATTTATGCCTGGATTTTTATCATTCGGAGCAGCTGGCTGCTGAATGAGCCACTAAAGGGGCCAGCGAAGGGGCTGCAGAGCAGAGAGAGAGGTAAAGGAAACCTTTGAAAACATAACACATGGCACGCAAGGCTCCACCAAGACCCGCCTGCATCCAGCAAGCCGGGGGCCCATAGGCAGAGCTGATTTGGGCTATACTGTGTGGGCTTCCTAATGGGCTTGTGCCTTACCTCTGAATAACAGGAATAGTCACCAAGTCAATTCAGCCATGCCTTACTGGTCATTCCCTCTGGCTGGTGGGGTGGTGGGTGCTAACAGAGATGAAGATCACCCGCCCTCTGCCCTGTCAGTGAAGAAGACATGGCAGACGTGGAGGTGGTGTGTCATGCTCAGGGCACAGGTGAAGCTGGTGAGGACTGGCCGTACACACTGAATTCCCAGAGGTACACTTGTACTCCTTGGGGTCAGCGTGGGCTGCCTTTTCCATCTTCCTCTGCCTGAGAATCAGTACAAGGCACCTTCTCCTCTGGGAAGCTTCCTGATCACCCCACTCCTGCTCTGTCAGTTTAAAAAGGGTCTACTTCTCTTGGGCCTGGTTGTGAGCACCGTCTAACCCCTGTCTTCTCCCCACTGGACTGTGACTCCTCGGGCCCAACACCCAGCATGCCTCCCTTGGTACCAGTGGCCGCTGATGGCCACAGCCTCTCACTCACTGATTCTACAAACATGTGCCATGAACTCACAACGTGAAGGACTACAAGCCTTTCTGCAGCTCTGGTCTTATCTGATTTGCCCAATAATTGCACACAGTGAATAGAGTGTAACAAGGTCAAATTTCCCAGCAACACATTTCTCTCAACTCAAACACACAGACAAGTCCTGTTTTCCAGCACAGTGAGGTCTCCGTGGTCTAAATGGTGTGAAGCTTGTGTGGTGCATGGGCTTGTTTTTCTTTCCTGTCCTGAATTGGAGCCCATCTGATGGACAAATCCAGAAGCCCAGGAGCATTCAAAGCAGCTACGGAGTTCCTGGCTGGGACCAGCTGGCCTCCAGAGACACTCAGGCTCCAGGCCCCACCATGGAGGGAGTGCAGAGCCTCCTTCACCCAGAAGAAAAACACATCTGTGCTTCTGCTTGCCACCTCCAAGCACACACAGTTCTGTCCTGACTGAGGTGGTTCCTAGGTCATCTTGCTAGGGTGTTTAGAGAACACATTCTCACCTACAAAACAGGAAGGCATAGCTTGTGATCCATGCCCAGAGCTTTTAACACCAGAAACTAGAAAAATAGAACCCAGGACTGGAAGAGACCTCAGACATTGCCCAGGGTGATGCCATCCTGTTTACAGACAGGGAATGGGTGCCAGAGTCAGGAAGGGATTGCTCATGGCAAGTACTGTGGGGACATTCTGGAGCTGGTTTCAGGCTGTTGTTGATTCTTCATCCTGCCTGTGTCTGGGACACTGTGCTCTGGTCATTCCTTCCCGTAGGCTTTGCCTTCAGTTGTTTTGTTCTAGGAATGTTTACCTGGCCCAGGTTCCTCCCCTGCCCTCCTAAAGCAGGAGGCTTTAGACACAGGCAGGCCTGGATACAGGGCTGGAGCTTCTGCACTCCTCCCCAACTTCATATCCCCAGACACTCGGTTTCCTCTCCTGGGAAATGGGAATAACCCAACTTCCTGTCTGTGAGGCTTGGGCATTTGCGATGGTGGTTACTGGGGTACAGATAATGCTCAGTGTTAAGAAAGAATCCTCCTCTCTTTTTTGCTTTTCCCTTCTCCTTGCTTTTTCCCTGATCTTGGGCAACTCAGGTACCCAAACTCATATTCAAACTTGTCCTTGACTGTAAGAGTTCCTATGGCTCAACCGGCTAAGGCGCCAGCCACATACACCTGAGCTGGCGGGTTCAAATCCAGCCCGGACCCGCCAAACAACAATGACGGCTGCAACCAAAAAAATAGCCGGGGGTTGTGGCGGG